ATAAGAAATCAGGAAAGGAAGGCAAGAGACCAGCATGGCTGAGTCGAGACCTGCTAGAGAAACTAAAGGGCAAGAAGGAAATGCACAGGTAGTGGACAGGAACAGTCATCCTGAGAAGAGTATAGGGACACTGCTCAGGTGTGTAAAGATAGGGTGGAGAAGGCTAAGGAGAAGCTGTAGTGGAAGGAAAAGGACTATTGGTTTTAAATTGGAGGAGATTCAATTTGGATTAGATATAAGGTAGAAAATTTTTACAGTGAGGTTGGTGAAATACTGGAACAAGTTGCTCAGAGAGGCAGGATAAAGACCACCTCAGAGACTCAAGATAGTGAGGATTTATTTTCTCTGTTTTGATATAAACTTCCTAGAAAAAAAAGCAACTTTGTGCTTTGGTTTCCCATTGAAAGAACATGGGGATATTCCACTCTCTGTGAATACAGAGGGAGGATGTATTGTCTCAGAAGATATTTACTGCCACAACAGTACCCCATGGGCAAATGTCAGCCATCCCCCCTCAAAGGTGTGCTTTGAGCACCTCCCATTTGATAAAAGCTGTTTCCAAATGTCTCCCTTCTACTAAGCAGGTGTGTATTCTCAGATAAACATTTCTGCATCATCATTTGATTTTTTTTCCTCTTTTTCCCTAACCTGAAACTCCCAGCCCAAACCCACAAGAAGATTTAGGGAGTCTAGGCAGCTTAAAAAGTGGATGAATGCTGACAGACCAGAGCTGCCCATTGTCTTTCTTCCTACAGCTACTGACTGATTTGAGGTAAGAAAGGGGCTTTTTGTACTGTGCCTCTGCAGAAAAAAATAAAAGGCAAAAAGAGACCACTGACATGCAAAGGCAGATTTGACCAGGTTCTACTTCAGATGCTGAAAAATCCTTTTTCATCTTATACAAAGGGAAGGAAGTTTTTTACACATCAAGACCTCACAACAAATGTTCTTCTCACTCCCAGAAGACTCAAATGAGATAAGCCAGGATGACTAACAATGTGAAAGAGAGGCCAGAAGAATGTTACCTGTTTTTTGACTACTCCTGTGCCAGGAGGATGTTTCTTTGCTGGTTTGGAAGCCTACAGCTCTCTCCTGGCCTCTACCAGCTGTTTGCCAGCTCATTGCATCATCAGCCAAAAACAATGGTGAGCAGCCTCTGCAGCCAGGCACATGCAATGCCCTGCAGTCGCTGTTAACATTTCTTTACTGAGTTTTCTCCTATGGTTTCTTGCAGGATTAAATTACCTCTAAAGGGCCATCTCAAGTCTGTAATCTCTTTGAATACTTAACTCTGGTGGCTTTTATCCTTTCTTCAGCAAAAGACAAGGTCAAGCATTTTATCAAGTCCGAAAAAGATATCAATGCAAAAGAGTGAGAAAAGAAGAGCAAACCCTCTGTATAAAGCACTTCAGTGTACTCATGCAGCATATTAGAGAGCAAAAGGAGCTTTCTGGCTCCTATCTGGCTGTTGTTGCAATCGTTAATGTGGTTTTGTTCCATTATTAATGGCACCAGAAAGAGAAATCAGGCTCTCCAGACAAACTTGAGAGACTGTTGTTTCACATTTGGCAATGAGAAGAAAGGAAAAAAAAATTAAAATAATGAAAATAAGCAAAGGGAAGGGGAAGGAATACTTAAAATACTGAGTATGTAGCAGTAAAATCTACAGATGCCTACAGCAGGATAGGAATGGCAAACTAAATCTTTTACAGACCTTGTAAATCATTCCCAGAGCCTGATAGTTTAAGGCCATTTTGTAATTAAACAAAAACAATCTAATTTTTTACAGTGCCTATTATATGACTTGATACATTTATGTTTCCTAGAACTGCTGATTGACAAGCAGAGAAAAATAAAACCAGAAGAGCACCATTAATGGATGAAAAACCTACAACTTGGAGTGGCACATAATTGGCCTCATCTGAATGTGTTTGGACAGGATTTTAATAAAAAACTTTGTTAGGAAAATGCAACATGAATATGCCAAGGTAAGTAAAACTAGGAATAACACTCCAATCTGACTTCTCTGTAAAGTTACCCTGAGTTAGCTACCAAATCCTGCAGAAGAGCCAGGCAGGGTGCATCCCTTCCCTCACACCTGGCAGAAACTGTTCCCCTGCTTAAGCCTTACACCAATGCCCAAGCACCAAAGCCCAGGATGTCCACAGCATCCTCTTCAAACTCCAGCCCAACAGCAGGTGATATCTGCTGAAGCTCATCCCCCATTGCCTTTGGGGTGCTGGGAGAGAGGCAGGTGTTGGGGGGACTCAGAGGGGTCAAGCATCAAGGTTAAATTCAGTTAGATTGGTTGCTTATCAATAATCCAGCCATCATCAGTACAAGAAGAAATTACTTCAGGTTATGCCAGAGGACATTACTAAAAATTGCTTCTCTGAAAGGGCTGTCAACCACTTGAACAGGCTGCTCAGGGAAGTGGTGGAGTCACCATCCTGGAGGTGTTTAAAAGTCACGTAGACGTGGTTCTTATGGGCATCGTTTAGTGGTGGACTTGGCAGTGCTAGTTTAATGACTGATTTGATGATCTCTTCCAGCCAAACTCATTCTATGATTCCTTGAAGGCAAGTGATTCTCTCTGTAGTCCCTTTTTGATGGGCCTGCACCCCATGGCCTCCAGCACCAGCCCCCACAGTGCAGTTCACATGGCCACACTTCTCTGCTGGCTGCAGGCAAGAAAACTGCCCTGAAAATTGCCCCCGCCCTCTGCTGCTCTCCTGCCTTGCTGAGGGGCCCCTACCCTGCCGAGCTGTCACCCAGCACTGCTGTTTCACACCCCAATGCATTTCTGCTTAAGAAAAATCTCCTCCCTTGCAGAGGGGATGTTTGCAGCACAGAGTGAGGAAGCATTGCTTCCACGGGGCTCTAAGGGAGAGAGGAATCTGCCAGCTTTCAAATAAATATGGTTTATAATAGCTCAATTAAATGCTTTCTTAATGCTGAGCACTTTGTGATATGTATTTCTTGAGGTGCAGTTTATATTTTTAAAAAACCCAACCTCTAGGCGTTTTATAATTTTTCCTTTAAAAAGAAGGAATTTAAAAGTTCTTCTCCGTTAATTATTGATGCTGAACACAGGACTTCTTTTTATCACAGGACTGAACATTTGACCTATGGTAGCCAAAACTGCCAAAATTCGTATTTCAATTTCATTACTAACATCTGTCTTTCCATTTATTCAATGCAAACAATTTGCTACATTTAAAATATGCAGCATTAAATTAATTTTATATGAGAATATAGCTCATAAGTTGTGCTACCAAAATAGTTCACTGGGCCACGAGCTCAAAAATAATTTAAATAAAGGCTGAAAGAAATAAAAAAGGAAAATTGCATGAAGTCACATCACCATGAGACCTTCTTTAATGCTCTGAGGAAAAAAAAATGACATAAAGCAGTGGGATCAGGAAGAAAGTTCGTTTGACAGAATCTCTCCCAGGGGAGGCACTGCACACTTTTTCATGCAGTTACATTTTCAGCAGGGACACCCAGGCACGATGTTGGCCTGACACAGCAGAGAGGATTTGGCAAAGCACAGGAGCAGCTCAGACAGATGAGGTAGAAGGGAAGCACTTCATGGCCTGCATCTGCAGATGGAGTGCTAACAAAGTTCCAGGCAACCCCAGCAGCACGGCAAGCTGCAAAGCTGTGGGATCAAACACTTTGGCAGTACCTGACCTCCTCCCATCACTGACCTCCTTCTCTGCCTCTTCATCTGAGTATCACCACTGAAGGTTCAGGGGATGCATCAGAAGTCAATGAAGCTGGAGATTTTTTTGCACCTGAACAAAATCTGGGCCCTGGAGTCCATGATGATGGTGCATGATAGCATCACACTTGGATGTAAAGCCCGCACAGGAGTGGGTCCCCTGCAGCTGAGCCCTGCACAAGCCTCACTCCTGCTCAGCCCCCCCACCCAGAGCTGTGCTTCAGCCCTCCAGACCCCCTCGGGACTCACCTGTTCTCCTCACAGACAGTCAGTACATAAGGAAACCTGCATTATTCCATACAACGCAGGTGGCTCGGGCAGATTGCAGCTGTCCCCCTCACCTGGGTGATTGCTCTTTCCTCCCATCACCCTGGGGAGCCCGTGCTGACCAGCATGCTGAAACGTCTCTCTTTAATCCAAAACTCTACTAAAGAAAACTTGAGGAGAAGGAAATGCAAGAAAGAGTACGGGAAATCTGCAAAAAGATTGATCTGATGTGTAACTCTTTCCCTTGTCAGAGAGGCAGGTTTCCTGGGGTGTATATGGCTTCTGGTAGTCACATACAAGGATGCCTCTGAGCAAGGATGAATTTTCAGGATTGGGACGATCTCATGTTTTCTGATCATGTTTCCTACTACCTCACAGTGTCCGGTGCTTCTGTAAGAAATACAAGGATTGCTGGGGACCTCCTCTGGACAACAGTAGAAGGGAGAGAGGAGCACCTAGCGCATGTGCCGGGTACAGGTGAATGGGAACCAGGTTCGTTTTCTAGCGTGGTCATCTGAGATGATCTCTGGGGACACAGAGATGCTGCTCTCCAGCCCTCCCCTCATTCCCGTCTCACCTGCGGCATCATCAGACTTCTTGGAGCAAAAAAGTCAGTTTTTAACACCCCGAAGTGAGATTTCCCTTGCGGATGCCAAACCACACTTAAAACCAGCCTCCTCGCCCAGGTGTCCCGATCCCAGGCTCGGCTCCAGGCTCCGGCCGCCCATCGCGCTCATTTCCCGGCCGGGCGATGGCCGGCGGCCCGGCAGCGCCTTCCCTTCCTCAGCCAATTGCATCTCCGGCCGGGATCGGAGATCGCGGGGTGTGATCGCCGGGGGCCGCTGCGGGGGGGAGCTGGGAGCAGCCCCGGCGGCGCGACGGGAGCGGGAGGAAGAGGAGGGAGGGAGGGAGAGAAGCGGGACAGAGGCCTGGGGCAGGCAGCCCCCGGGGTCGGGCCGCTCCGGCCTGCCCGGGCACTTAAATGCAGCCCCTGGGGCATCGGCTTCCCGCTGATGAGACCGCTGCAGGGCTGCCGAGGCCGGGGCGTCGTCGTGGGGACCGTCACCCTCTGCCTGGCCGCCGGGTGGGCTCTGCAGAGTAAGTGTCCGACTCCGTCCCTGCCTGCCCCGCTCCCTCTCCCGGCCCTTCCCTCCTGCTCCTCGCCGCGATGTCCCTCCCGGCTCAGCCCCAGCGCCCGACATCGGCGGGGCGGTGCAGAGCGCCCGCCGACCCCCGCCCGCAGCCGGCGCTCTGCCCAGCCCGTCCGCAACTGGGAGCGGCTGGGGAGGGGATGGGCACGGGACGTACCGACACTCGGGCAGGCATTGCTGCTTTTTGAGGGCTGGGCATGGCCAGGGGAGGCTCGTCCCCGCTCCTGCTGCTCGGAGGGAGCGGGGGAGCCGAGCGGGAGAGGCGCGGCCGCGTCGGGAGCGCCCCATGTCCCGGCCGCACGGCCGCTCCCGACAGGGGCGGCCCCAGCAGCCGCCATTCTCCTGCTGCTTTTCCAGGACACCGAGGGGACAAGGTGTGGAGGGGGAAACAACCCCGGCTAGTCAGCCCGAGGGGTGTTGGGTCACGCCGGGAAACGCGGCGGTGAGGAGGGAAGGTGGGATCCAAGCCAGCACCGCACGGGGGCTGAGGGGGATAGGGCAGCGGGCACAGAGCCGTCAGCTCCTCTCCCAGAGGGCCTGAAGGAAGGAGGATGCTGCCAGCCCACCCTCCCCTGCGGGCCAGGCTGTCAGTGCCGCCAGGGAGTTCGGTTTGGTCACGGCACTCCACCAACAGAGGTGACGCACCAGCAGGACACCAAAGGGTGGAGAATCAGTCCGCAGGGTTTCAGAGGCCCTTTCTAGAGTTGTCTCCCCAGTTTAGAGCTCCTGCGTGGAGGCCCCTTGTTGCCAGCGTTTGTTTATCTTTCCCACTGACTGCCCAGCACACTGCATGCCCAGCTGCGTTGCCACGGCCAGGTACGCAGAGCCGCACTTCCCACTTTGACTCTTGGCCAGGCAGATAGTTTGCAGTAGAGCAGCGTGCCAGGACGGCAAACTCCGTGAACTCTGAGCAGCCCCTGTACCCTCTTCTCCTGGGTGCGTGTTTTACTGGGTGTGAAGGGGCTGGTTTTGCCAGCAGCAAAGCGCAGGCACCTTGCATAGGGCGCTGCATGTGGGTGTGATGTTTGCTCTCCGGCCTGGTGGAGTTCTGTTGGGTTAGACCGGTTCAGGTGATCTAGGCACACTACCTACTAAAAATACTTTTGAATGGTTAGATACTGCACTGTGCTTTTTAGCTTTGCATGCCAGATAGGGACAGAATATATTTACAAATCATTTAACGGAAAGGTTTAAATTCACTCTTTTTTTTTACATTTACCTTGCAATCACATGTTCAAAACAAAGCCTCTCTAAAAACATGAAAGGGTCAGTGAGGAGAGACACTCACCTCCTGTCTGGTCAGAAACAGTGGGAAAGGCCTTTAAATAAACACACGGACCAGAAAACAATTGGAACAATTTGCAGTGATTACCAGAAGTTCCTGGCTGTTCTGTTTCTGTAGCTGGCACAAACCTCGTTTTCACAGCCCTGGTTAGTCTCTCCTGCACACAGGCTGAATCGCAGACCACAGCTCAGCTGAGGATACACTGAGCTGCCTGGAAAGTGTGATGTTCCTGCAGAGGGACTGGGCAGCATGAGTATGACAATGATCATGAAAGGGGGAGCCCAGGAGTGTTAATCTTGGAAAAATCCGATTTGGTACTGTAGATGAGGGCCTGGGAATTGAACTGGCTTCTTGAGCTCCCTTACCTTACCCTGACCAGGAGAGTTAGTAAATTCTGCTACAGATCCCAAATACAGTGAAGTCAGGCTGTAATTCACCCATCTCTTCCATTTGTGATGGATGTGGAGTTTTGGCCATGGAGAGCTCCTGTTTTAAGATTTTTTTTAAATATATTTTTATCCCTTGGAGATTTTTTCTTTGCGTTTCTTAATCATTTTTATTCCTGAAGACTCTGCAGAAGCTCATCCCCAGGTATCCTGCTTTGCACTAGAGTGCAGTGTAGCTGAGGGTCTCATTCTCACTCCCCCACTGGGTTACAGACATTTACAGGTCAGCATTTCTTTTTCGTTTTGCTCTTGCAGTCAGGCTATTCCCACAGTAGAGCAGGTGAGCTGTTCCAAGCCAAACCAGGAAAAGGCATTCAGCCTTACTCTGTGCTTTATCTGCCTTTCATCTACTTTGATTTTTGTGGGTAGGTAACAGGATTTCAGTCTTTAGCCAAGGGTCTCAAACAAGCCATTAATAAAAAGAACACATGTATGCCAGTTAAAACTCCAGTGTTGGTGTTCATCCAAATCTTCATGAAGAAACACCAAATGCAAGCAGAAATTATTGCAGTTACACATTAAACTAAGCTATCAGTTCAGTTTCACAATGTCATGAACAGCTCCATAATCACATCAGGAGGAAGTAGGTGAGAATTAAATATTCTTTTATATGCATTTTTGCCTTGATATTATCAGGAACATAAAGTCCCTGGCTTCTCATGAAACTGCATACCTTTGGTGACAAGTGATTTATCTGCACTGGCTTATTAACTGGCCACCTTTAAGAAGCTGATATTTCTACTGTTGATTGCATATCTTGAAAACACGACACAAATCCTTGCCAAGACTTCACATGCTTATGCCTACTACAGTTCTTGCTTTTGGGGGATGGTAGTTAACAAATATAATGATTACCTTGGACATGGCAACTAAACTTTCCATTCAAATGCAGGATTTTTAAAGAGATCCAGTTACTGATGAACAAAAGAAAATGGCTCAGTTTTCAGAAAATGTAATGCTTATCCAAAATTCCTTTCTATGTGGATGTTAAAACATTGAAACATATGCAATTACGTGTCTTTTATGGTGGAAGCATTTTTGCTATCACAAATTATAAATGTGTATATAGTCTTCAAGTATGTATGTTACTTTTATAAAAAGCATAAAGAAAAAGGTATTGAAAAGCATAATCAATCCTCTCTTAAAACAGATCACTGAAATAGGTAAGATGAATCACCAGGATCCAGAGGTTTCAACATGCCCTGGGCAGCTGGTGCAGCATCACCTCCAGACTCATCACTCTTCTTTGTCTTTCAGCTCCTGGAGGAGTATCATTAGTTGTCCCACAACCCAACATCAATGCAACAGTGGCACAAAACATCCTCCTCTCAGTTGAATACTCTTGCCGAGGCGTGGCCACCATTGAGTGGAAGCATGTGTCAAGCTGGGGCACCACCAGCATTGTGGAGTGGAGAAGTGGGAATTATGTCAACATATCCACAGTCTACAAGGACAGAGTGACTACTTTTGAAAATGGCTCTATACAGCTTCAGAACGTGGGCATGAGAGATGCTGGCTACTATTTTGTCACTGTAATGGAGGAGCATGGAACCAATGCCTATGGCACCATTGTAGTCAATGTTTACGGTACAAACTAGACAGGACTTCTTGGCTTTGCCCTGGGTTTAAGCATCAATATACTTGTAACCAATTTTATAATACTAATTTTTTTCCATTTTCCCTACAGAGATTATCTATGAAGATTTGCATTTTGTAGCAGTTCTCTTTGCATTTCTCGCTGCAGTATCTGCCATTCTAATCTGCTTCATGTGGCTGTGTAATAAATCTTTGCATCTATTTCAAAAGAAGACAACACACAAACTAACAGGTATTTCTCTTAAACTGTAGTCAGGGTATAGAGTCTTCAAGCATGAAATTTGAGACTAAAATTTGTACCATAAAGGTGCTATACAGGGCCACTGAGAGCAAGACTGAAGTACTCAGATCAGTTATCCTGTTCTTATTAGCTGAGGCAACTGAATAGCAGGTGTTTAGTTGAAAAACAATCCACAGGACATCTACCTTATATGTTTCACGTTAGAAATAATAAAATACTTCCCAACACTGCTGATTGCAAAACTTGAGGAGAAAAGGCCAGAGCTGCAATAACCCCCCATCAAAGGGCAGAAGACAAAATCAAGAGCATAAGCAACTCTCTCAGAGTTCACATCAGCAGGGTGTATCCTAGGTGAAAATATTCAGGTGACCCTTGGGAGTGGACCCCACCTCAGTTCAATCCTCAGTGGAGCATTGCATCTCCTCCTCTCAAAACCCCTTTTTACCTGTTCACTTTTGATCCAGTTGCAGATTCCAACAAACACTGAGTAATATCAAAACTTGACACTGTAGACAACAGGCCAAGGGAACACAAGGGCTACACTGAGGGGACATACTAGAGAAGAAATTTCCAAGCCACCACCAGGAATATTTGGCCTAGGCAGAAAGACAAGGTGCATATTATGGGCCTGGATCAAGCTCTTAGGCACATCTTCGAAATGGGAGGTTTCCTTTACCACTTCAAAGTATTTCAGATGTTTACCTCCCTTCTTGGTAAATGCAGATCCACTCGTGGTTTGTTGCCCTCTAGGTAAAAGGTCTGCATTTCTTCTGTAAGTGCTACATTACAACAAGCAGCCTAGCTATCAGTATTTTACTAGACTAACACAGATACTCAAGCATCCTAAGATTCATGGCCCAGACTTCATGTCAACTCTGCAGAACCTAATAGAAGAAGAAATTAACTTGGTTTGAGCTGCCTCTTTCTTTCTGTTGCTCACCTACAGCTCTTAAGGGCTGCTGCTGTTTTCATGGTGCATACACCATTCACAAGTTTCTGTAGCTACTGAAAACTCTCCTATCATGCCAGAATATACAGGATTTTGTTTAGATAAAGCCTCTTCCTCCAGCTGAAGCCAATCTTCCCGCAGGGCTGAACTGAATAGACATATTCATGTAACATGGCAGAGTTCAGGAAAGCATAGTTCTAGAAACTTGTGTGATCTCCCAGGAAATGGTCTGAAGCAGAGACCTAATTTCTGCCCCAGTTCTATCTCAGAAGAGCCCTCCTTTCAGAAGTCATGAAGAGAGATAGAAGAACGGGCCCTGTGGACTAAGTTTTCTTAGTGCCTTTAGCCTTGTACTGGAAGAAATTGTCGTCATTTTAAAGATTGTGAGAACCTCTTTACACAGTTAAATATTTTGAAAAAATGTATTTAAAACCTAATTTTAGATGAGCAAGCTTGAGCTAGTATTAAAAAGTTAAAAATGTCTCAGCACAGTTAATTTTGGAATATTGGCCTTCCAAACCATTTGCCAATCAATAACAATATCCTTTTATTTACAGCAAGTACAACAGAAGAGATTGAACTGGAAACCATTGAGTGTTAGCCAAGGATTGTATCATAATAAAAATAACAATTCTACCTCAGGAGAAAGTATTGTCCAAGAAAGCAAGAACAAACCTAGAAGGTAAAATGTTTGTGACTACTGCAGAAACATCCTGACTTGCAAAGTAATTAAATCAGCAGTGTCTGATGGAGCTGTTTTGACCTGTTAAGTTTTTGGTTCTGCTAGTCAAGGTCAGAGTAAAAAAGAGTATGCTTTCATGCTGAGCATGAACACATTTTTGTGGTTAGCTAATAAAATCTACAGCCTCTACCACTCTTAAAATCAACCAACCTACCAACCAAGTCTCTAAGATCAACCCATAAAGGAAATTATCATGGTCTTGAAGGACACCTGCATTTTGGTTACAGCAAGTCTCCTATTACAGACAGAGTGGTCATTAGCATCCATCAACATAATAAATTAAATATCTAATTACAGTATTACATTAAAAAATTAATTGCAAGCATCGAATCCTGTTTATTGCACCTATGCTGCTACTTTTGGGTGTAAGCAATTTCCTGAAGCTCTGAAGACAAACAGCAATTTTTCATGAGACAAAACTAACTTTGAAAGAACGCCGAGCTGGTCAAAGTTCTCCCGCTTGTGTTTCTAATTGTTTACACTGCCCCAAGATGGACGTTAACACACATTTGATGACATTGCTAGAGCAGGTGGTTGTACAAGGAACAGTGCAGTCAGGCACTAAAGTGGACACTGTCTATAAAGATTAGAGAGGTCAGATAAAATACTGACACACAACACCAGTGGGGTGGCAAAGTACTAAACAGTTTTGTTGTGAAAGATGTCAAGTCCTTTGCAAACTTAGTCCTGTGATGAACAATCTATCTGAGAAGTTAAAACAGCATTACTTCGAAATACAGTATTTACAAATACAGTTTAAAATTGCTCTTGTTGAGAAGCCACCTTTGCTTTCCCTATGCTGTAAGAAAACATTAAATGACCCAACTAATGTTTTCTTGAATCTGCATATTGCACGTATTGCAATTCTCCACCTGTAGATCTGTTGCGTGGACTAACATTTGTGTTTGTCAGTGAGAGAGCAGTTAACTGACCGAGTTCCAAATTATTCTGTTTTGCTTTTCTAATGAGAATTTTGCAGTGTGAAATAAACTTTGAACTTGGAAGACACCATGGACTAGTCTGTGCCTGTAGATTGCCACATGGTTGTTTGAGTCAAACTGCTGCTACCTCCTTTCTCACACTTATCTCACTTGCTTGCAAAAACCTTTTACAGGACAGGCTGACAGAGCTTTCCCTCTGGTCAGGGACTGGGATGCTCAAATGCAGAGGTACTATGGGCTCCACTTGGAAAAATGTTCAGGGAATTTCTCACCAAGTCCATAATGATGCAGGTAGGTGCCAAACAAGCCAAAGCACTCTGTGCACAGTACCTTTTAGCCATCCCATACTGAGCTGGCCTTTTGCAGTACAAAGGGCCTCTCCCACTCATACATTAAGGTACCAGGTTCAGCTGTTTGCTCCTTCCTACATCTAGAACATGTCAAAAAACGCGAGAAATTACATAAGTATTAGATACGGCACAGACAAGTAAGAGTTTATTCCAATTCTCTGCTTTAAACATACACTGCCCATCTTTTGTGTCTTTGAGTGAACTAATCTTTGACAACGGGGAAACTCTAAGTGCATCTATTTCAATCATCAAATTTGAATTACTTGGGAAAGCATACTGACAGAATATGGAAAACATTATTAGGGGTTCTTTTTGAGCCCTAAATCTTAGACTTTTAATGGAAAAAACATTAAAGCACTTTGAATGTGAAGCCAGGTATTCGACTGAGCTGAATATACAGCAGGTGCTCTGCCAGACTTAGAAAGTACAAAAAGTGCAGCTCACATACAAAACCACTATTATCTGCTAACGCTGACCTGAACACTGCAATTGCCAGAGGAATTCAGGAAACATATTCAGACATGGATAACCATTCCAGAGTGCATTGCTGTGATTGCAGAGGTCACATACACATTTAAACGACTATGTTTGAAAGCTGGGATGAAAGCAGGAAATGAACATTAAAATTCTCCAGTTTAAAATGTACTGCAACAAAAGAAGTTTACAACTAGCACAGTTGTTCTACCTCCTCCAGGTTGGCGGAAGTCACTGCAACTTCAGGCACCCATCCTTGGCTGTTGAACTTGGTGTCAATGTCACTCTTAGGCAGTAATATCCTGTATGAACAGCAGGGACTCAAACAGTATTCAGTGAGAACATCCAGCCTGTATATAGCTTTCCTTATAGACAATTCCTCACCCAAAAATTTTAGCCACAATTTAACATGCTTACTCTACACAGGTAACGTTACTTTAAAAATACTCACATTTTCCTGAAAATGACGTTTGTCAATATGCATTATTAATGTCAGTATTTGAGATACAGAATGTGAGGCTAAACTCTAGCAGTTTCTTGCTACCCTGGACCACCTGAAGTCGTATGGAAGGTTGTTACAGTAGAAATTCAGAAACTAATAGCTGTTCTTACTATAAACTCCCTGCAGAACAGCAGCAAATTTAATATTTACAGCATTCTAGATAATCAAAGGGATTAAGTCATTTTACTTTTTAACTTGAATTAAAGAGAAGTCCAAGTTCACCAGATTGCTTTGGCAATCAATTGAAAAGGTCTTAATCATTCACTTGTCAATTGTCATCATTTCATCTTCAAAGATGCACTACCAAGTTTCAAGACTGTCTGTCAGATTTCTAAACAGTCTGTTTTCCATTAAAATTAGTAAACCCTGTGTATTCAAGTAGAAAACTCACACTCTCCTCATCTCTAATAAATCTCTTTTTTTTGTTATTATTATTGGGGTTTTTTTCCAGCTAGACCTAGAAATCTTGACAAGTGTTTTTGTGCTAACATGCAGAGCTTGACCTTCTGCAACACAGGAGGTGTCCTTTTCAGGAGAGAAGTCCTGCAACCATGAGATTGTAATAGCTCCACAGTGATCTGATTATTTGGTAATGAAGAAATTACTTGATGAAAAGGCTATTGCTACAGACAGACCTGTCAATTTAGGTTAAGAACAATAAAGTGTAAAGACATTTCCAAGTTTCATGACTCATCTTCTAATTATTAATAAAAGATTTGTTGTGTTGGCAGGAATCAGAACAGCCTCATCTAGCTGGATGCATGAACACATGCATCAGGCTGTTGGCCGAACTGTTCACCAAGGAACAACCACCCCTCTCTGCCTGTAATCATACAGTGTCTGCTGGCACCTGGCATCACAGGGGTCGCATTAGGCTCAGCCCTGTTTCAAGATCAAGAGACTATTTTCAACTAGGGCTTTTAATTTCCATCCACTGTCTTGGGTAACACATGAGCACCTGAAAGGAAAACTCTTTTTCTCTCTTAGTTCAGTCACACAGAAGCAAGTACTTCGAGGAACTGAAACAAGATGCTCTGTGCTGGCCAACACCAATATAAGTACAAGAACTGCTTTGGATACATGATGAGCAGCAGCTTGCTGCTCATTTTCCTACAATTACTCTTTATATTAGAGAATACAACCAAATAACAACTGTCAGCATGGAAGTGTGATGTTCAACTCAAACGTGTTTATGTGCAAGAAGTTCACATAGGTTCATATAGACAGACAACACATAAAACAATATGGACGTGAATATGAACAATATGGATGTGAGTTGACACAGACAGGTTGCACAGACCTTAGCACCTAAGTACCAAACAAAATGAAAGCTTTGTTGAACACCATACTGTAAGTTTCAAGAAGGCTACAATTACAACCAAAACTATACAAAACGTGACTTTTTTATTTTGAAAGAACTCAAAAGAGCTGATATTCAGGAAGATATTATTTCTCTGGATGATAATCATGGAGTATACAGGAGAAAGACAGAGATGTGCAAGTGTGGAGGTTAACTGCATGATAGTTACCTCCTATCCAGTCACTAAGTCACAAGTCACCCACAAACTAGAATTGTCAGAACTTTGCAAGCCAAGTAAAACCCTTTCCTCTATATTCTTGCAAAAAACAAGGTCAAAAAACAAGCAAAGTAGCTGACATCACACCAGCCATCAGAGAGGAAAGACTTTTGCCATAGGCAGTAACACTCTCAAGTTAAACTGCCAAGTAAACATATTTCTCAAAAATAAAGGGGTCACCCAGAATCCCCATCAATGGACAAAGAAATTCCAACTCAAGAATGCTTCAACTCAAGAACTACCAAATTTAATTTTATAAACAAAATATACATTAATTACTCATCTATGTCACTCTGGACAGAGAAATTTTCAAAGATAAAGCTGAAAGGAACTTCTACAAAAAATTCTATGTATTTTATATGCTACTGAAAAAGGTTTCATTACAAATACCAAAATGGCTATTTCTGTACAGGAAATAAATTTGATTTTGCTTTCTTGTATTGGCCCATAGCTCCCATTCCCTTTGCTGCACCAGCAGTTATCATTGCACAGAGACACTTCAAACCCTCAGAGAGAGGCTGATGCTTCCCTAGCAAGGAGTTAGGGCAGCCATGAGGAGTTCCATTTTATACACAAAGTTACGTCCTTCCATTTTATTCCACTGCACTTCCTTGAATGGTCCCCGGAGATGATTCCACTTGCTGTCCTGCAGGACATCGCCCTTGGGGAGATCCTTGCACTGACTCCGTGGGAACTGAACCATGACTTTGCTGCCGCTTTCCGGACCGTTACGTACTGTGGTGAAAGGAGATTTCAGTGAGCATTTTTTACACTGTATGAATTCCTCATACTAACTATTCTTCCTTGTGTATTCTATACTTTACTCCTACTCAATTCCAAACATGCTGAAAGCAAACAAGGTAAATTAAGTCCCCTCCTTGCTTTTTCTCTGGATTTTCTCTCTCGTCTTCCACTTCGCTATGATTTTGTTGCTTTAGCACTGCATATTCTTTGTTAGATCAAGACAAAGAAACTTTCAATAATCCCCAAAATGTACACTTTATAAATGCATTTTTTTCCCCACAATGATGCCAGGAAGGGCAAAGGCTTCATTGCTCATTCTTTCCTTGGATGTATTCCCCACTATTCTGTTGCAAAATGTATTGTTTCTAGCGGATGTATCTCAAATAGACAGGATCTAAGTCCCTAGGCAGTTACTTTTAATCACAAAATTTTGTGAGACAGGTGGAGGGGTGTTGGTGCTTCGTTGGCTTGGATGAGTTTATGTGTTTTCATGTTGGGGAGTGGTGTGTGTTGGCTTTTTAAATAAAACATAAATAAACAGAGAGGTACCACCTAGCTTTTCCCTCATCTACCAAGGTAACCTTCTATCAGGGTAACTGAACATAATTTCTCGTTCAGAAATTGATGCCAACTACTCCCCATCACCATGTTCTCCATAGTATGTTTAGAAAATTCCTCTGAGACTATTTTTTTCCTCCTCATCTTCCCAGTAATTGCAATGAGGCTGATCAGACTGTAGTTTCCCACATTTTCCTTCTTGAATATAGGATGTAGCATTTTGCCTTCTTCCAGTCCTCACAAGCCCTTCCTGAGCCTGGCCTTTTAGAGATGATCAAGAGGCTTTCTAGTGACAGTCAGTCAACTTCCTCAGCAGTCATGGATATATATCCCACCTGGTGCCATGAACTTGTGTATGTCTAAGTCTGTTCAAAGGTTCTCTAACCTAGTTTTCCACTACTGAGGCTCAATCTTTGCTCCAAAATTCCCATGGGTCTCACAGATCCATTTCTGAAAGCCAGTCTTAAGACCAAAGTAAAGAAGGTACTGAGTACCTTGGCCTCCTCCACATCCTGTGCCACCAGGTATTCTCTCTGTTTAACAGCAGTCCCATATTTTCCCTAGTCTTTCCTTTGCTGCTGACATTTCTGTTGAAGCTCTTCTTGTTGCCCTGTACATCCCTCGTCAGATTCCTTTCCTATCCTTACCAAAGCATGCTTGGATAGTCTCTCTATATCCCTCCCAGGTCAACTACTTATAATCTCTAGGAGCTTCCTTCCTATGTCATGAGTTCAGCCATGAGCTCCTTGTTCATACACACAGGATTTCTGTCACCTTTGCACAACCTCCAGAACATTAGGAATGACCATTCTTGAGCTTGAAGGAGGTGACCCTTGAAAACAATAATCAAACAGCACTCCCAGACTCCTTTCCATCCCATAGGATTCTTTCAAAAAGATCCCTAAAGAGACCAAGCTCTCTTCTCCCTAAGTTTGGAGCTGTGATTCTGTTGTTTATCCCCTTCTGTCATGATCGTGATGGTTTCTGTAATCTCTTTT